TCGATAATTTTTGGAAAAATGACTCCTAACTGAAACCATCCCAAGAAACACTCATGTTGGAATTTTACCTTTGTTTTCCTCAAGTAATATTTAGGAAAAGTCACCTGGAGATGGGTAAAAATGAATTTCATCAACGATCTTTCACTTCCGGCGATATCGTAGCTAGGTCACCTTGTTCCTGCACCTTTATTTTCACTCCCCGTATACTCAAGTGAAAAACGAGATTGTAAAACGTTGCAAAGATTTACCTACCTGTAGTCGATGGGTTCCATGTTTCGTTGATTTGACTTAATTTAACGCAGTTGTTGCCAACAAAGGTAAATAAAATATTACTTTCGTAAAAGTATATTATTGCTTTTGGTTTATTATCTTGTAAATCAAAAATGGCTTTCAAATATTTTGGCTTTTACCGACAGATTACCATAGAACTATAAACCGTAAATGTTCATCTGCGTACATTAGACAGCCGCATTGGAGTGTTCTTCATGTATTTCAGATTTTCGGAAGTGAATAGTAAATTTTTGGATAAGGTAGTTTTTCAGTTTCTATGAATTGATATACTAGCAAATATTTTCTATAGCCCTTTTTCAAAGTTTGATTTTTTAAGAAGTAACTGAACGAAAAATATCACAAACTTTAAAATCTTTGCACGTAATTTTTCCTATCCAAGGGTTCCGGAAGCGCACCATCTGGGGTCAACTTCCAGGCTCTATGACCTCAAACCTTGAGACCGCTATATGTCATACAAAAGTCACCATGCCACTATCCGCTGTGCTCTCTTTTTTAGAATTTCATATCCATATAGACCTAGTATAGTTTTGGTATTTTCGGTCTTTTCATTAGAGAAGTGAATAACGACAGTGTATCGGAAAAGTAGCGGAAATTTTTCAGAGACACAATTATGCCACCGGCGTTTTTATTGCGAGCAGCTTCAGATAACGTCCCTTCAGCTTCGTCCCTCTCTTAAAAATTGTCATTTTCGTCCCACTAAGTGAGCAGCATGCAAAATGTGTCTAACTGACGATGTGGAGCCATTTGCAGTCAGTTGGATATTTTATAAAGCCAAGATTGACTTTCGGGAACAAAGTGCGCGTGAGTTGGCGTATGGCTGTGTTGATAGGACAGATTATCGCGCGTGCGTACCACTGCACTGTTCGCAAATGAGCCACGGACGTATATGGGTGCAGAATAACAGTTTTATGGATTATGAGACATCAGGAATACTGGATTGTCGGACACAATAAATATCCAGGTAATCG